GTAACGTTTGGTGTGGATAACGAAGTCGCATTCTTCTACACACCAACGCCAGGTATTCCGAAAGAAAATCAGGACGGGAAAAATACCTTAATATTCACAGTTTTGGCCCCTTTAATCGAAAGCGCGTAAAAAGTTGAGTTTGTCACACACCCTTAGCCTCAGAATTCTGTCATACCGGACCGGTGGTATTAACTTAGTTTAGTTTTTAGTTAATTATTTAACTCATTAGTTTAATTTGAGTAGTTAGTCTTCAAAACGGCTATTGAGAGATTCGCCCTCCGGAATAGTGGAGAATGTGTCACAAAACAAAACAAAAAGAGTAAGACTTACTTTTAAGACTATCTTTTCTAGGAGTCGCAGCAAGTGAATTAGTAAGATTTCCGAAGGCTGCTATCTGGAGTGCTTTCACCTAGAAAAATTACGCATATTCTTCACAAAACCTCCGCGCCTACGGTTCGGAAGAGGAGGAGGTAAAGATCGACTACCGCCGCAGGCCATGTCGTTGTGTATTTATTCATTCACCTGCTCCTATGGAGCAGGCTACATTATACATACGGCGATGCGTATGGAGAACAGAGTACGCGAATACATACCTATCTGGCTAGGTAAAAATGAAAAACGATCGATTTCAAATTCAATTGTCAGATATCTAATCAAGACGAACCACCAACTCGATGTCAAAGGAACCATTAAGATTGCCTACCGGGCGCCTTCTCTCCATCCATATGGCAGGTAGTCAGCGTTCACAGCTCGCAAGTTCATTCTTAATGTAATCGTAATGACCTGATGATGAATTACTATTGATTTTGGGCCGGTAAATGGCTCTTTTCAGCACTGTTGAAATCTACCACGTGTAGGCAACACCGGCGAACCACAGGTCGCCGGTATTCCGAAACCCGGTGAAGTTGGACGACTCAACTGAAGGATGGTTTCCTGTGGTTCTTAGACTTGAAACCATGACACCTCCCGTTAAGTGCTCCGGGATAGTGTCAGACGGCGTCCAGTGAAGTATCGCTTGAAGGCCGGTAATGTTCGCTTGTCGTTCGTGGTCTTTTAAGAGGTACCCAATTTTCTAGATTAACGCTTAACCCTCCTGGAATGTATCACGGCTGGTCCGTCGCGACTTCTTGAGTG